TTTCTGGAGACGAAGCGAAACTAATGTTTCAGAGATTGTTCAGCGAGGATGATGAAATCGCTTTGCTTCAAGGTATTCTTGATTTCACTTCTACTAGAGGNGACTTTCAGAAGGAAATGGATGCTTTTGTTGATTATGTGAAAAAATTGATCAATTTCAATGCTAACAGAAGCCAATTAGTAACCAAAATTCAGAGNTTGAAGAAAAAGTTTTCAAANATTGTCAAGAATTCTCTTANAAAGGGAAAGAGCGAAGAGGAGATAGTGTTTTCCAAAGATCTTGATCAGAAAGCTTTCGAATTGTCGAGAAAGATTTGGGGAAAGAATGGTGTTCTGGCTTCAAAATCAAGGATGAAGGTTGAAGAAAGCCCGAACGGGTTTATGTTGTTGCCTCACTCGTCCAGGAAAAATCGAGAAACCGCAAATGTTGTAGACACTAGTCTCACCTCTAGTAGAGAGTTATCATATTTCTTCAAGACAGAGAATGTGTCTGCTTATGGTTTGGATGAACCCGCAGTGATTGCCGGTTGGGATATGGTTGCGGACGGATCAAAGAAGAGAGAAATGGAGAAAAAATTGAAGAAGCTCAAGGCAATGCAGGTGGAGCTATGTATGCAGAGGACTGGACTTGTGGCCGAATCCGCAAAGCTGATTTTCAAAGACAATGCATCCTCTTCTGGTATGTAGATGAGAAACATTTGGTGACATGTTGAGCTTATATTCGTGTTTTCATTTTTTTTGTCTTGGCTATCTAGTATGCATTTTGAGACTTTAGTTACTTCCATAGTTTTGTATGCCCCTTTTGTTGAATGCTTGGCTTATGTGGATTGATTATCTTAATGCCTCTTATTTGGTTTCTGTGAGATTTAGCCAGAGAATGGAATGACCTTAAAACAAAACACACTATTCGATTTTGTTCTAGTACTGTAATACTGTCTGTTCTGAGTTAGATCTCGCAAGCCCAAAATCTCAGATTAATAGTTGAAATCATGAACCATCATGGTGCCTTTGAACTCCCACTAAACTCTAAGCTCCCACCATAATGCCTTTGAACTACCACTAAACTCAAAGCTCATTGTGACACAAGTCTTATTTGGGCATGCAACTACCGTTCCCTCTTGTTACTCAAGGTATTCTGCATCATATTGAAAACCAGCTAAACAAAGTGAAATCTTTTTAGCATCCGTTCTAAAAACAGCTCAAATATTTTATGTTACATTTGTGAAACGGACTTGCAATTTCTGTATTAACTTGTAAGCTATTGTAAGCTATTGGATGCAATCCTAAGACCCTCTCTCGCAAATTTCATCATATGATTTCCTTGTACAGTCAAGAAGGTGCCTCATGAGGACTGTACAGTTAAGAGACAAAACTCATCACCACATGGTTCTGCAGTTTGCATAACAATGAGAGACGATACACCATTGCATGCTACAACTAGAGCATCAATTGGATCACAGAGACATTGTCACGACTGCGCTCCTTGTCTTGGAGTTGCGGTCTAACAGGAAAAATCACTGTGCAAATGCACAATGAGCACAGTCCAAGAACCGGGCCTGATGCCATGTAATGCGTCAACATAGAGAAGACACAATTGATACAAAGAGCAACGTAGCATGCAGATTTTCCTTAACCAAGACATCTAATTAAGCATGAGAAACAAAAAAATACCTTTGCGAATTTTGGCACTGTGATAATTTTTTTTATTGTGGAAGCTCTTTCAGGGGCCCTTCTTAGTTGTAGCTGAGCCAGACATTTCACTACTACATTTTACCCACATGCGTATAAGGAGGATTCGACAAACTACCATATCAATCTGCTTTATATAT